GGATGGCCCAAATGCTTGGGCCCTGCAATCCATGGGAGACCAGGAGAAGCACCTGGCTCCTGCCATCGGATCAGCGCGGTGCGCCGGCCACAGCGGCCATTGGAGGGTGAACCAACTGCAAAAGGAAGACTTTTCTCTCTGTCTCTCTTTCTCACTGTCCACTCTGCCTGTCAAAAAAAGAAAAAAAAAAGAAATTTAGGGTTTTTAGCTTCTCTTTTATTTTAATTAAATATTAAACATTTCAGAGCAATATTATTTCTCATCAATTATATTTAAAATTGTTGTGCTTTATAAAGGAGGAGTTTCTCTAAAATTATATAATTATGCACTAAGAAATTAAGTCAATCTATGTCATCTAAGAGATTAATCTGAAATTTTAAAAGAAAACCAAGCATAATAGCCTCTAATTCTTCAATTCAATGTATAAACCTACTAAATATATTCATAACTAAGATGGTGGGAGATTCAAAATGCAACTAATTGCTTCTATATCTTGTGTTTAGTGAGAAGAAATAGTTGGATAGTGTCAGCAATTTAATAATTTATTTTTTTCATTGGACAAAAAATGAAGAGTAGTCAAAGGTTTTTGTTCTAACTTTTTAAATAAATACTTTCTACTAGATAATCTGTTAATATTAGTATGTTAGATCTTATAGATTTGGTTAATACATACATTTAATATGTGTCTCTAGGGTTATCTTATAAAACTCCTATTTTTTTCCTCATGGATTCAAGAAATACATTTCAGCTTTGCTTTTTTTAATTGTTTTCTTTTTTTCTCTTTTAAACTTTATTTAATGAATATAAATTTCCAAAGTACAGCTTATGGATTACAATGGCTTCCCCCCCATAACGTCCCTCCCACCCGCAACCCTCCCCTTTCCCACTCCCTCTCCCCTTCCATTCACATCAAGATTCCTTTTTGATTCCATTTATACACAGAAGATCAGTTTAGCATACATTAAGTAAAGATTTCAACAGTTTGCTCCCACACAAAAACATAACATGAAAAATACTGTTTGAGTACCAGTTATAGCATTAAATCTCAATGTACAGCACACTAAGGACAAAGATCCTACATGAGGAGTAAGTGCACAGTGACTCCTGATGTTGACTTAACAATTTGACACTCTTGTTTATGGCCTCAGTAATCACCCTAGGCTCTTGTCATGAGCTGCCAAGGCTATGGAAGCCTTTTGAGTCCACCGACTCTGATCATATTTAGACAAGGCCATGGTCAAAGTGGAAGTTCTCTCCTCCCTTCAGAGAACGGTACCTCCATCATTGATGACCCGTTCTTTCCACTGGGATCTCATGGAGATCTTTCATTTAGGGTTCCCCCCCGCCCAGAGTGCCTTGGCTTTCCATGCCTGAAATACTCTCATGGGCTTTTCAGCCGGATCCGCATGCCTTAAGGGCTGATTCTGAGGCCAGAGTGCTGTTTAGGATATCTGCCATTCTATGGGTCTGCTGTGTATCTCACTTCCCATGTTGGATCATTCTCTCCCTTTTTGATTCTATCAGCTAGTATTTGCAGACACTATTCTTGTTTATGTGATCCCTTCGGTTCTTAGTCCTATCATTATGATCAATTGTGAACAGAAATTGATCACTGGGACTAGTGAGATGGCATTGGTACATGCGACCTTGATGGGATTGAATTGGTAAGTTTCTAACTCTACCGTTTGAGGTAAGTCAGCTTGAGCATGTCCCAAATTGCACATCTCTTCCCTCTCTTATTCCCACTCTTATACTTAACAGCGATCACTTTTCAGTTAAGATTCAGCACTTAAGAAGAGTTGTGTATTGATTACAGTATTCAACCAAAAGTATTAAGTAGAACAAACAAAAAAAAAAATACTAAGAGGGATAACATATTAAGTTGTTCATCAACAGTCAGGGTGAGGGCTGAATAAGTCACTGTTTCTCATAGTGTTCATTTCACTTTAACGGTTTCTTTTTTGGTGCTCAGTTAGTTGTCACCTATCAGGGAGAACAAGTGGTATTTGTCCCTTTGGTATTGGCTTATTTCACTCAGCATAATGTTTTCCAAATTCCTAACAGGGATCACTTTTCAGTTAAATTTAAACACCTAAGAATAATTGTGTGTTAATTACAGAGTTCAACCAATGGTACTAGAACAAAAAAAAATACTAAAATGGATAAAGTATTACATTGTACATCAACCATCAGGACAAGAGCTGATCAAGTCACTGTTTCACATAGTGTCCATTTCACTTCAACAAGTTTCCCCTTTCGTGCTCAGTTAGTTGTTGCCAATCAGGGAGAACATATGATAGTAGATATAAATTTCCAAAGTGCAGTTTATGGATTACAATGGCTCACCCCCCCCATGATTCCCTCCCATCTGCAACCCTAACATCTCCCACTCCCTCTCCCATTCCATTCACATCAAGATTCATTTTCAAATATCTTTATATATAGAAGATCAATTTAGTATATACTAAGTAAAGATTTCATCAGTTTGCCCCCACACAGAGCACAAAGTGCGAAATACTGTTTAGGCACTAGTCATATCATTAATTCACCTTGAACTACACAGTAAGGACAGAGATCCTACATGAGGAGTAAGTACACAGTGACTCCTGTTGTTCACTTAACAAATTGACACTCTTGTTTATGGCATCAGCAATCTCCCCAGGCTCTAGTCATGAGTTGCCAAGGCCATGGAACCCCCATGAGCTCACCGACTTTGATCTTATTTCAACAAATTCATAGTCAAAGTGGAAGTTCTCTCCTCCCTTCAGAGAAAGGCACCTCTTTCTTTGATGGCCTGTTCTTTCTACTGGGATCCTGCTCTCAGAGATCTTTCATTTAGGTTTTTTTTTTTTTTTTTTTTCCAGAGTGTCTTGGCTTTCCATGCCTAAAATACTCTCCTGGGCTCTTCAGCCAGATCCGAATGCCTTAAGGGCTGATTCTGAGGCCAGAGTGCTGTTTAGGACATCTGCCCTTCTATGAGTCTGCTGTGTATCCCACTTCCCATGTTGGATCGTTCTCCCCCTTTTTTATTCCATTAGTTAGTATTAGCAGACACTAGCCTTGTGCTTATTTTACAAGGGAAAGACTTGGAGTATCTGTTTTGCAGTCTGAAAGCAGTTTAGTCACTTGGGAGGAAGTCCGTAGAAGTCCTACATTTTATTCTGAATGCATTAATGAAGAAATTTGTAGTATACACCCCATCAAATTAACTTAATCCAGGAGAAATAATAAATTGCAAACATACAGCAGACTTGGAATAAGTCCTGAGATGACTTGGATTGAATGATTCAAATAGAAATTAGATTTGTTTCTTCTGACTTTCCACTTCTCCTCTTTGTGAGTTGCTTTATTTCCTTTATGAATTATACACATAGTCATCCCTATAGACTCATCCTCAGAGCACTTAATTCAAGGGAAAAGAGTGGATGGGTTTTTTTCAATTTAGAAATTCCTGTACAAGATCGAATTGTTTGGCTTAAATTGGCTTGTGTCAAATCCCTTACTATTTGCACCAATTACTGGATTAAGAGGGATAGAACTATACAATGGTCTTATTTTGCATCATGTACTTACCTCTCGAGCAATGTGGGCAGAAGGCTAACATGTGAATGCAATATTTTTAAATTAATTTAGGATGCATTTGGGAAATGCAAAAATTTATTATTAATTTTAAAGTGAATGTACCATTTTAAATTAATGTTAGTAATTACTATTAATGATTTTATAAATTAGTAAATTGAATTTCTTTAATTAAACTACATGTTTGAAATTGATATTATTTTTCAGCATAAGTTTAAGTAAATATCCATTATAATGAGCAAGTCTACTAAAGAGTTATCTTTAACAAAAATATCAATTTTCTCTGGCTCCTATGAGAGGGTACTACAAACAGATTTGAACAATGTGCTCAGGGATAATCATTTCCTTTCCTAGCCTCTGGTAATGTTATAGAAACTCCTTGATTTGCGGCAGCATACTCCCGTACATGTCTGTCTTGACCTGGCTTTCTCCGCTGTGCCATGAATATGCCTCAAAGTGCCATTCTTTGAGCATAGATTCAGAAGAATCAGGAGTCAAATGAAGCTGGTGAAAATTTTACATCCAGCTCATTGGACTCAATTTGGTGTCTCTGAGTGGAAGCTTTCCTCTCTTTGGAAGTAATCTAATCAGGCAAAACAAGAATACTTGCAAACAGGAAGTGTTGTCTAAAATGATTTGGTTCTTAAATTCATGAACTGAGGAAAAAAATCTGACCATGGTGACTAGACGTGGGGCTTAAAGGGAGGTCCTTAAGACACTGAAAGTTGTTATTATGGAAAGGTTGACATAGAAACCAGATCTGGGACCCAACCATTCTGTCTACTTCTTGACTCACTTTCTCTGTACTTTCTGCCATTGCATTTGCATTCCACCTGTTCCTGAATTTGAATTTCCTAAATTGCAAGCTCAACGAGCCAGTAAGTAGTGGGACCATTACTATAATTATACTGAAGAATGTGGACAAGCCTTTCAAAATGACTTATTGGAAAAGGTTGGAAGAATTTGGAAGGCCAAGGTAGAGAAAGCCTAGAATGAGGTAAGCAGTATATTTTTTTAAAAGATTTATTTTCTATTTATCTGGGATCTCACTCACAGAGATCTTTCATTTAGGTTTTGGTGTTTGTTTTTTTTGTTTTTGCCATAGTGTCTTGGCTTTACATGCCTAAAATACTGTTATAGGCTCTTCAGCCAGGTCTGAATACTTAAAGGGCTGATTCTGAGGCCAGAGTGTTGTTTAGGATATCTGCCATTCTATGAGTCTACTGTGTACCCTGCTTCCCATGTTGGATTGTTCTCTCCCTTTTATATTCTATCAGTTAGTATTAGCAGACACTAATCTTGTTTATGTGATCCCTTTGACTCTTAGACCTATCAGTATGATCAATTGTGAACAGAAATTGATCACTTTGACTAGTGAGATGGCATTGGTACATGCCACCTTGATGGGATTGTATTGGAACGCCCTGGCACATTTCTAACTCCACCATTTGGGACAAGTCCGATTGAGCATGTCCCAAATTGTACATCTCCTCCCTCTCTTATTCCCACTCTTGTATTTAACAGGGATCACTTTTCAGTAAAAAATTAAACACATAAGAATAAATGTGTGTTAATTACAGAGTTCAACAAATAGTATTAACTAGAACAAAAAAATACTAAAAGGGATAAAGTATTAAGACAGATTTACAGAGAGAGGTAGAGACAGAGAGAGAGGTCTTCCACCTGCTGGTTCACTCCCCAAATGGCTGCAACAGCTGGAGCTGCACCAATCCGAAGCCTGGAGCTTCTTCCAGGTCTCCCACGTGGGTGCAGTGGCCCAAGGACTTGGGTCATCTCCCACTGCTTTCCCAGGCCATAACAGAGAGCTGGATCTGAAAAGGAGCAGCCAGGATTGGAACCGACACCTATATGGGATGCTGGCGCTTCAGGCCAGGGCTTTAACCCGTTGCACCACAGAGCCGGCCTCGAGATAAGCAGTATATTACTGGGAGATTCTGGTGAGAACTTATCAGTATACTAATAGGCATGTCAGCAGTAGAGTACAGGACGATGAGGTTTCAGATGAGACGCAAGGTTCCTTTTGGAAACTGGACAAAAGGCCACCTTTGTTATACCCTACAAAGAACTGGCCTTTATTATTTCTGTCTCCAGACAGTATGATATTTCTTTTTTAAAGTGTTTATTTATTAACAAGGCAGAGTAACATAGAGGTAGATTGCCATCCACAGTTTTGTTCCCTAAATGTCCGCAACAGCCAAGGTTAGGCCAGCTCAAAGCCAGAAGCTGGGAACTGAAGTGGAGTTTTCCATTTCGGTTGCCAGGAACCAGTGCTTGATCCAGCATCTGTCGCCTCCCTGATTCATTAGCAGGCAGCTAGACCAGACGCAGAGGAAATCGTGGGATGCTACTCCAGGCGCTCTGACATGAGGTGTGGACATCCCAAGAAGTGGCTTAATCCATTGCACCACAGTGCCTGTGCCTATAAGCTTATCATTTACTTTCATTTTTCAAAAAAGTACTTGAATCATCTTTATATATGTGTGCATAAATTCAATATGCAAAAATATGTTGTTGAATACATATATTTGAAGCATTTAAGTATATACCTATATGAATGCTTATGCAATAAAACACATAGATACTTTATTTCTAATGTTCTAGTACCTTTACATTTTCCTATGTTTAAACCTGAAAATAGTTTTCCACTTTAAAAATCATTAAACAAGTATTTTATTCATTGATGGTCACAAATGCAGAAGAAAACAGTGATAGATTTAAGAAGCAACACTTACCTTTATTTTTGAGACAAAGAAAATTGAAAATAAATTATTATTATCTTGAAGAAAAACAATGAAGATAAAACCATAATAAACTACTATATATTTTATATTTAATTATAGGCAATTATTTCAGTTATACTATATTTTCCATTTTCACTTGTTTAAATGAGCAATTTAGAGGATAATTCAGAAAAGGAAAAGGTAATAAAAATAACTCCAAGGAAGATATGTTAAAAAAAAAAAAAAAAGGTCGGAGGGGTGGATGCTGTAGTGTAGCTGGTAAAACCGCCGCTTGCAGTGCCAGCATCCCATATGGGGGCTGGTTTGAGTCTGTCTGCTCTGCTTCCAATCCAGTTCTCTGCCATGGCCTGGAAAAACAGTAGAAGACAGCTCAAGTTCTTGGGCCCCTGTACCCATGTGGGAGACCCAGAAGAAGCTCCTGGCTTCGGATTGGCTTGGCTCCAGCCGTTGTGCCCACTTGGGGAGTGAACCAGCAGATGCAAGACCTCTCTCTCTCTCTCTCTCTCTCTCTCTCTCTCTGCTTCTGCCTCTCGGTAACTCTGCTTTTCAAATAAAAAAAATTTAAATAAATCTTAAAAAAATGTCGGAAGACAAGATTCAAAAGGTGGAAGGGAAATAAAAAGTAAAAATTAAAATTAGTCTTTTAGTGTTTTAAGAATAATCATGAAATGCTGGCACTGTGGCATAGCAGGTAAAGCCACCGTCTATGATGCTTTTGTCACATATAGGCGCTGGTTAGCCTCCTCGCTACTCAAGTTCTGATCCTACTTCCTCCTAATGGCCTTGGAAAAGCAGTGGAAAATGGCCCAAGTACTAGGGACCCTGTCAACCACATCATTGGAGACTTGAAAAATGCTCTAGGCTTTTGACTTCAGCCTAGCTCAGCCCTGGCTGTTGTGGGCTTGGGGAAGGAAGCAGTGGATGGTTGATTTCTCTCTCTCTCTCTCTTTTCTCACTCTCTCTGTAACTCTGACTTTCAGATAAATAATACATCTTTTTAAAAAGGAATAATCATAAGATGAGCTGTTAATTATATTTATGACCTTACACCTTCTTAATAATGTGGAAGAAAAATATTTAACATATTAACTTAGCTGTAACATAAATCATTATTATTTAGTTAACATAACAGATTTGCATTAATGAAAAAGTGATTTTAATTATCATCATAATATGCAAAAGAAGTATTTGATACTAATGGAGAAATCAAAAAGGAGGAAATTAAACATTTTGTGTAACGGATTGCATAGGTGGAAATACTTTGTGTGAACATGAAAATCATTATCTTTTATTCTGATTTTTAAAATGGGAAATGTAGCATTAGGGTAGAAGCATTCATCAAAGTATATTTTTTATCAAAAATATGTATCAGGCTTCCTCAGCTTTCTATTTGAGATATAGGGAGGAATATCCTAAAATATGGATTGAAACCTGATACTGGATCAGTACAAATGAAAAAATACTTTGAGATCTTCTTTTAATTATAACATATATTATGTATCATAATGAATTAGAAAAAAATTATATATTTTTCATCTTCCTGCATTCTTCAAAAATAGACATTTAAACATAATTGTTTGTTTGTATTTTATTAATTTACAGAGAGGAAAATCTATCTCTTGACCCCTATTAATTTTGTTCTATAATTAAAATAACAAATTAATGTGATTAGAAATTTAATGAGAAATTAATGTTCACTAAATCTAGAGATACAAACTGGTGATAATTATATAAACTTCACTTGCTAATACTATGGTATTTTTAATTCTGTATATATGAAATACATGAAATGTATTCCCTTTATATAAATAAAGAAATAAATGCAAAAAAATTGAAATTATATATGCTATATACCCATACTACATAATCTTGAACAGGTAATATACACATTAATATTTAAGGGATATATTCATAATGATTTTCTGATGCTCACTAATTTGATATGAAAGATATAACTAATCAATACTCCTTCATTTAATATTTTTTTTTATTTTTTTAAACTTTTATTTAATGAATATAAATTTCCAAAGTACGACTTATGGATTACAATGGCTTCCCCCCCATACCGTCCTTCCCACCCACAACCCTCCCCTTTCCCACTCCCTCTCCCCTTCCATTCACATCAAGATTCATTTTCGATTATTTTAATATACAGAAGATCAGCTTAGTATACATCAAGTATGGATTTCAACAGTTTGCTCCCACACAGAAACATAAAGTGAAAAATAATAGATGATTTTTTTTAAATGATGATGAAATCAGAGCAGACCTATTGTCATGTTTAATCCCAGTGAGAGTCAAATTGGGAATTGATAATTTCTTTTTTTTTTTTTTTTACAGAGGATCAGTTTAGTATGCATTAAGTAAGGATTTCAACAGTTTGCACCCCCATAGAAACACAAAGTGAAATATATTGTTTGAGTACTCGTTATAGCATTAAATCTCAATGTACAGCACATTAAGGATAGAGATCCTACACGAGGAGTAAGTGCACAGTGACTCCTGTTGTTGACTTTACCAATTGACACTCCTGTCTATGGCATCAGTAATCTCCCTATGCTCCTTCCAAAACTTATCAATTTAAAACATTGGTTCATTTGCATTGAAGAAAAGAAAATCATGTGTGAAACAAATGTATTAGAAAATATAATCTCCTCCAATGATTTTCAAATTGTATAGGAGGTCTCTCTACATCTTTCTCTCTCTCCCTCTCTTTCTGCTCAACTAAAATTTATCTTATAAAATATATTGAAAATATGTATTGGATAACTTGAAAAATGCAATTGTTCTTTGACTATCACATATGCCTAGCTTTGCTTAAAAGATAAAATTATTTTAGTTTTTGCTATGGTTACCTTTGCATATGTAAAGAGCATGTTTATATTGCTGTATTTTTATTATATTTATTATAGATGGTGTCTATAGCGATTTAATGCTGAGAGTTGTGGATTTCATTAAGTTAGTTCAGTGCAACTCCCATTGGAACTTCCAATTAAACCCTTAGAATTTCATACTATGACTCCATCAATTATGCAACGTTTCTTTTTTCATCACTTTGGAACTTAGAGTTTCAACAGTATTTCATCTCTCTTTATCAATTTTCTTATGTCCATGTATGGCAGTGTGAATAACACCCCAGAGAGGTCTGACATCTGTTCCTCGGAATCAATATTAGTGTGACACTGACTAATGCACTTTTTAAAAATATTATATAATAAATTGGGTTGGCACAGGGAAAAACTGAAGAATTCAGTAACTCATATTTTCCAAATAATCTACCTGTGATACAAGAAAATCATACTTTCCATTTGTATATCTATTGGTATATCTTAATTTCCATTGGCATATATTGCAGTAGTCTTGAATAGTCTTTCTTGTCACTTTTGACAAGTGACTGATGTAGTTGCTTTGATGATTTGTATAACTTCCATAATTGTTACTGTAGGCATTACATTAATACATATGTATGACTTTAATCTACTGATGTTGTGCAATTGGAGGAAAATATGAAAATTCAGATTTCTTTATCTCAGTTTACCTTCCCCATGCTTAATATAATTGTATTTAATAGGTCGTTTATGTGCATTCATACTCACATAATGAAGCAGTATTTTTGCTTCAACAGTTAAACAAAATTAGACAACTCAAGAAGGGAAGGAAAATCTATTTACCCTCAAAAATTTTTACCATATATTTTTCTTCCTTATATTCCAGTTTTACTTATATGCTTATATCTAGATTTTAGTTACCCAGTTTTAGAACAGTGTTTTTTGTGAAAATTCTCTT